TTTCAAGCCCTCTCATCTTCCTTTCCGGTTCCTGGAAGCACTAGAGCTATTCTCAAGTCACTTGCTTATGTAGGCTTTACAGCTTCTGGTGATGCCAGTTCATAAGAGTTCACACACCCTCTGGGACCTCTGACTTTCTAGTCAAGCAGTGCACAAAAGTACTTGCGGCACATAAGCAGGTGTTTATTGAATATAGTCCCCTAAAGCTATAAGCAATCAACCATCTGATTTATCATTCAAAGGGTCGACACATTGCTTCGGCTATACACTGCATTGTGGACCTTCAATCCACGACTGTATACTGATAACATGCAATATTATTTCAGCATAGCTAATATTATATCTTTGGAAATGGGGAGCCTAAAAAATAGACCAGTGGCAGTGACCTTGATTAAGAGTTGTGCCTTAAAGACAGCAGGCCTGCATGTTCCTTCCCCCATTTACTAGCTGAGGGGGAAGTGCAGAAACAGAGCAACAGTGGCACAACTTTCAGAGTAACTGACCGCCAACCAAGCAGTGCTAATGCAATGGCTCCTGGATAGCCAACATAATGCAATAGATTGGTTTGGTTACAGTGAGTCATAATTCAAGACAGCTGAAGGGTCCACATTAATATTTACAATTATAGGAAGAATTAGGTAATATATTTGATTACAACTACTGAAAGTCTCCCAAGGGATGCTAGTATCAAGGCCAATACAGCATTTTCATTTTCCTAGGTCTCCTCATAATTTTAAAGTTCTACTATGATTCAATATTTGCACAAATGTTGGATTTATTTGTGACTGTATTGGATTTCAATATTTCTCTAGCTCAGCAGCAAGGAAGGAAAAAGAAACAATTAAGAGGCTCATCCACAAGCAGAAATCACCAGTGCATTTAGTAATGTCTCTAGAGCCTTACACCATAGTTGCAATTTACTTCTGTCAGGTTCTACAACTAAAATATGATATTTTAACATTCTTGTTATGGAATAAATTAATTGTTGATTGACTTCTTCAGTTTATAGACCATCAAACACATGATCAGAAAACACAGAATACAGTGCCTCCTGCTGTGAGCATTCCCCATTTGAAATTCTGAAAAAATTTCCAGGAAACTTACATAGAGAATACGTTGTAAGTACGTTACAAAAATCTTCTTTCAGGCTCTTGAGGCTTTCTTGAGTAAAGTCATTTCCTGTGGTTTTACAGCTCTGAGAAGTGACTGTTTACTTCTGTCTTTTAAAGTGAGTTAAACTACATATGTCCTTACAGCAGACTATAACATAAAGTGATTAATATGACTAAGCAGGTACCCTTAATGAGACACTCCTTTGCTAAAAAGTTCCTAAAATAAAGTGTATTATTATAGCTCAACAGTTATCAGCACCATTTGCTTCACTCATCTGTGCAATGTCAGGTCCCAGGACACAAGAGTGGATGAACCTGCATTTGTAGTTTTATTCCTAGTGACACTTTCATCATAACAAACTTCTGCTTTTATTTATAGAAATTTTAAAGATGAATGCCTGCAAATATTTGAACTTTTATTATTATTAAAGGACAGTGGACATGAGAACTAAGAAAGCAACTGCAAGAACTGAAGGAGAAGAGAGACTAAGTGACAATCAAAAGAGGAAATTCACTGTTCACTTTCTACATATGAGTCCAAGAAAACATTTTGAAAGACTGCAAGGAAATAAGACAGAAGATATCCTTTTATCTAAGAAAAAATAATGGAATTTCAGCAAACAAAAAAGGTTCATAAACATGGCAAAGCCAATTTGTGAATTTTCTTTCCACACACCATTTCTACCAACTAGCAACTGTGAAATATGATGGGAATTCACTTCAGGAATTGACTGAGCCTTTAGAAGTGTATTCTGGAATGCAACAGCTGTCACATAGCGCGAGAAATTCAAAGGCTGTACTACAAAAACTGATAAGGAAGATTTGGGGGTAATTGCTTAGGAAGATGGTTTTTCTAAGCATGCTTAGTAACATCTATCTAAAAATTAAAGAGGAAGTAAAACAAAGTCAAGTTCTAAAGCTATCACAAAGATTTTAACATAATTTCTCTCTTAAAACATCACTGCAAGAGGAAATTGTACAGGTCATAGGCATACAACCTGACACAAGAGTTATATCTATATAGCTCCACCTATTAGTAAAGAGATATTTTAAAAGTAGAGAAGAAAACATCAGTTGCGCATAGATTATTTTTGTTAAAAAAGTTAAACTTTTATCTTACATCCTTACTATGCTAAGGAATATAGATGGGATCTCATTTTAAGAAATCCTATTTTTCCTTTTAGATTTTTAGCTTTTCACCAATATGGGCAGAAGCTTTATACTACATATTCTTGTATGCACACACATAATGTAACAAATGCACATTTGTGAGGAAGAGACTTTTATTTTGGGGAAAAATATTTTACATCAAAACCTTGAATATTCTGATATCTACTTGTTGTTACTTGTGATCAACAGTATTCACATAACATATTTTCTGAATCAACAGTAATAACTACTTTCAAAGAGTTTTATCCAAACATGTATTTTAACTTTCTTATTTACTTTACTTTTATTATACTATTACTACCCGTATTTTTTTATTGCAAGAACTCATTTTGCAATAACTGAACAGCAGGAGTTATCAGACAGTAATAGTCAGAACTGCTGTTCTATTTACTTCAGTGCCATTAGTTATAAGCGTGAAGATTCTTAATGAATGGATCTACTTCTTTGTTTGTGAATAATCTTCAAGACGTGAGTAATTGCACACAATGATCTTACTACTTCATTTTGCGCCTACTACCACAGATAATTCGTTGCTGCATATGGGACAGCTCATAGCAGCATGCACTATAGCCTCTGAGCTACAGGGAAGTATTTACAGGATTTTGTTCCATTGTCTTCTGTAAAACACACCAGCACATCACATAATTTCACACTGCTTCTCCTTGTGACTGTTGCGTGATGTCTAACCAAGAATTTGGTACACACATTATCATGAGTCTCAAATTCAGAAATAGGAGTGAATCAAGCACAGTCAAGTCAGCTCTATTTTGTGTAAGGAAAGTAGGTTACCTAGTTAACTGCATACAAATGAAGCCATTAAGTGTGCTGCCAGGTAGATTCTACGCACTGTAATTTTCAATAGGAAGTGTAATACTGAAGGACCCACCCTCACCTGGCCTCACAGAGATATGTTTAACGCTTTTTTTTTTTTCCCCCTGAAGAATAATCAGTTGCTGGTTTGCTAATAAGAGTCACTGAGAATATTTCTACTTGCATCTCCTATCCTCCCACTCTGAAAGCTGTGTCACTGCATATCTGTCAGAGGATCCCTGTCACAGATGTTCTGGTTCTGCACCGACTTTTCTCACAGAAAGCATTCTTCCTACAGACATTTCTTTAGATTATTTTATGTTCCTGCCATTTTTTCCTCCCAAGTTACCAAATACAACCTAATTTCCACAATCTTCCCAAACTTATGCACACACAAAGTGAATGCATAGTAGTGTTGTTATACTGTGGATACCCGAAACTCTTTCCTTTGAGCTCACTGAGAGCAGGATGATGTTGAGAGCAGACTCCCATGTATCTGGTGAAAACATCATCACTTTTTTTGTATTCTGAATCATTTATCTTATTCTCCGTGACACTGCTAAAATGAACATACATTCAGCTCCTCAGTGCTTCAGAAAAAAAACCACTAAGAAGTCAGAATATCTTTTTTTTTTTAAGCCATAGAAATATTAATGTGAATGATCTACGTAAATTACACATGGACCTACGTGTCTTTATATGACTGTGAACGCTTATAGCTGACTGTTTAATATTGTTCAGTATGAAGATTGCAATTAAAATAGAAAGTCCAATTCTTAGAGCAATTCTGCATGTGTTATACTGTTTTACTACATTACCTGCAAAACCCTCACATTTTTAGTAGGCACGGATCATTTGTTTTCAGCACCATTCCCTAAATGACATTGCTAAAGAAATGCTTAGGAGAAACAGGGCACTTGCTCAAGTTAAATCAGGCAGTGTCTAGAAAAGGCAGTGACTTACAATGGGATTGTTTTTGCTGTCTAAATTAAAAATAGAAGCACATTCATTGCAGCAGGGTGATGATTTCTGCAAATTCAGTCACCAGAAAAACTACAGTTAAAGACAACCTACAAAACCCTTGTTGCAACTGCGGCTTGGATTCCATTTGTCCATCAATGTGGCCATTCCTTTCAGTATGGATTACTAAAAGGTTTGCAGGATTCAGTACTTAATTTCACCACACAGTACAATGAACAGTAAGACGCTGCAGAACGACTGCCTACTAGCAAACTTTGTAGCAATGTGTCAGATGCATTATCTTTATCTAGAGAGCCCAGAGTCAAGAAATGTCAGGGATAATACTTGTTTAAATTACAAAAGAACAAAGGTATTTTCTAATCATTCCTCTCTTTCTGTACTAACCTGGGAGCATATTGGCTTCAGAAATATGAAATAATATTTTGATAACCAAAGAAACTATTTCCAAACTATTTCCACTTCAAGTTGCTAACTTTAATCCTTTGCTATTCTACGGCCAATTTCTTCCTAAGATGTATTTTGCCTCTTCTTTTAACCATTTGGTTGACAGCTTACAATGAGCTATGCCTAAAATTGTTCTTGTCAAATAATCATCTGGGTTGTTCTTTAGTTTCTTTCCACAGTTGAGCCCTTATCCAAATCCTTCTGATTTAAACAAAAATAAAGCAATTCATTTTTCTGGAGTTTAGAGTAAGGCAGGTCAAAACTGCCCAGACAAGCTTAGTCTTCTTCTAAAGGGAGCTCAGTTTCCTTCTAGCCTAAAGGAGCCGTGTGGGATGCTGAATCCTGACCTTCCTGAAGCCAAAACACGTTGGTATTTTTTTGGTCTTTGAAAAAAAACTATGGCTTCAATAGACATTTTAGTAGCAGTGTCCATAGCAGTTTCTCCCATCTCCACCCCTCCAGCACACAAAGATAAGGTCTCACCTGACTTGTCGGAGGAATCATCAAACTCCACGTTGAAGGAGTGCCCGTTGTTGACGATGTTTCTAGCCGTGCCGGCATCATAACTGAAGCTGAGAGGCTTCAGAGAGGAGTCGTACTTGGCAGACTTGCTGCTAATGTCAATGGGGGACTGGCGCTCGCCATTGGCGATGGGGAAGTGCTCGTGCCAGTGAGCGGGTCCTGCAAGACAGCGTGAAGCAGCTCAGCGGGAAGAGACACAAAGCTCGGGGGATATAAACGACGACCCTCGCTCTAGAAACGGGGATGTTCTAAACACTAGCATCAGCCTTTGATAACCTACCATCTGTGCGGGTGCCCGATGCTGGCTACACAGATGAGGGGAACCCTACCCGGGGACCAAGGCACGGAGCCGGCGTCCCTGAGCTGTGGAGGCTGAGGCTGGGGTTTTACTGGGGAGCCCTTCTAGAGGCCACCCCGTTCTGCTGGAGCAGCGCTCCGTCCTCCCCTTCTCCTTGCGCCGTTACCGAAGTAAAGGAATGACAGTGGGAAACCAGAAGATGCTCCAGGCAAATCGCACGGCGCGCCTGGCTCGCTGCTCAGGCGCAGGTGGCATCTCAAGGTTAAAAGTGAAAAAAAAAGAAAAAA